GGTAGGATTGCGGCAATATTGCGCAACGGTACGTACCTGTAAATGAAGACGAGAAAAAATTGCCCGCAACGGCTACCGAGATCACCGAATCTGTTGGTGATGTGGGAGAAATATTATCAATCTTTATGCTTTCACGGATCAAAACGTACGAGAGCACGCGGAGGTTGCCCTCCTCAAGCTGGTGGCTGCCCAGGATTGGCGGGACGACTAGAAAACGGTAGAGAGTGAGAGTGAGTTGGGAAAGCAGGAAGTTCCCTTGGCGTGTGGCGACGTTGTTGGTATGAGCCGCAACACGATATTATGTAATGCTCACTTGCCACCAAGTGCTGGAGCAGACGTTACTGTAACGGTAAAGAACTCAGTACTCCCCCGATCCGTGTCTCCGCTGTCACCCATAGTACGCAGTACTTGATTACATGGTTACTGGTTCACTACCCCATACCCGTATATTTTACACAAGCCTGTGCCCGGACTCGGCTTCTGAGTCCAAGACTGATAATCCACATACATAGATATGTTGGATCACAGGGTCTGAGCACAGGCTATACGGACGTTTGAAGGGAGAACGCTCATTTTGTGTAGCACTGCAGGCAACTACAAAGCGCAAAAATTTAGGTCTTCGTGGTAAATGCAGCTGGGCTGTAATATATGGTTTCAATGCGTCCGAAATATCAAACATACATACTATCGTGGTTGAAGTGGTGTCAAGATGGGTTCTGGTAGCGGAGTCGTACGTGTTGCAAAGAGATGCCTCAATTACGACGTTATGTAGCATGCACAAAAGTAACCAGTGGTTTATGGCTTGTAGCATAGCGGGATTGGTTGAAAAGCTGTAAATCCCACTATAGATTGCCAAATTGTCAGCGAGGCACAAGTTGTCAAGTACACCATGAGATCCAAATGATCAGACGACCGGAAGAGCCATACGGTGAACGAGGCTAGCGCTGAGCGCTGGCAAGAGTCGCTATTACCGTCCTGACATCATCATGGTGCACTACCGTGTCTTTCTCGGTGCCCCTCTTACTTCAGATCTCGCTAGAGACCCGAGTTCTTACGTCTGGAAAACGACGGAAAGCACACCGGCACCCTTCTCGCCGTCTTACGTCCCGCTCCACGACCCCACCCTGGTATATCCCACTGCAACACTCGACGAAGCCAGCAGACGAATATCTCTTCTGTACCAGAACGTAATTTTCAAGGATGCAGACGAGGACGGGGAACGGATTGATGATAGCGAGCCTGATGGCGCGGGCGGAGAGACACAGGACGATGATGGTATCGTGACATGTCTTTCCGGTCTGTTTTATTACTGAGATTTAACGCCACCATCGTCGACGTCCAGAACGAGCGACGACGCTCCTTACGTGGCCCCCGACTCCAGCGGCGACCCAACCCTCGAAGAAAAGCGCAAATGCGTCTGGTCTTCCCTCCTTCCTCCTCACTTCGCAGTCTCAGCCACAGGCTACATACGAAACACAAGAAACAACGTATTCCGACGACAATACTTCGTCTATTACCCGGTTCCCAAACTTCCAGATTAGCCTGCACACCATCACCTCTCTTTCGTCTCTTCGTAGTGCCGCGACCGAACAAAATCAAGCGCGACAAAAGAGGGCGCACAAGGTAAATGTCCTCGTTGCCATCCTCGAAGTCGAGGGCCCGGACACCGTCAAAGTGAAGACCGGGCCGTGTGCGGGCCAGGAAGTATCGATACTCAAACTTATACTTGGGGACGAGGAGGGGTGTGTGTGTCGACTCACCGCCTGGCGAGACACAGCGGAGGTCTGGGGTGGGTATGGGATGGACCCGGATTCACCTCCTGCGTTGGCGAGAGGGGATGTCGTTCACTTCGAGAGTAAGTCTTATGGTCATTGCATGCAGCTCATATCGCTGTTTGCCCTACATTCTATCCGCTAACTTGGGTAATACGACCATGTCGACCATTTGCTTGGTGTGCGTCGTCATGCCCTTGTGCCTGGACGCCGCTGTCACCACTTGCGGACCACACTAGATATCCTGGCAACGTTCTCCCATGATCCCCGTCCTAGACCCGGAACCACAACTACAACCACTACCACATCCAAGCCATCCTCCCCCAATGTCACTTTTACCGCGTCCCCGTCAATGCGTCCTGCTTCGCGTGCTCAGATCTGCTACCGGACACTACCGACCGCTCGTACTGACGCACGACTACGACCGGATCTTCGGTTGGGCTGTAGTGATGCAGCCGTACGGCGCGTCGGGGTACTGGTGAATTGGTTTGAGGACGTTGCAGGAGTCGGGCATTCTTGTGGAAGGTAAGGTGTCACAGTGCAATGAGGTCAAAGCAGGATGTCTACGAGTCTGTAGCTCTCAAAGGGCGTTCTCATAATATGGTCGTCCTCCACTATTTTTTGAGGGCGAAGGTCGCGCCGCCGGATGGTGGATTCCTTGCCAAGCTGTGTAATTGTGCAATCGGATGGAATAACCTCACCGTGGTCGTATATGCTGTACAACGCCCGGAACGCCTCTTGAAGACATCACAAATACTTCGCACACGGCATGGACCCATTATTCCGTATTGGTACAGTGGATCCTCTGCCATTCATTCGCAGCCAACGAACGCATGTGTGGATGATCATTTTGGTGGTGCAGTGTTCTAATTTGACCATCGGTGGACGATGCATCCCATCTCAATGTGTTGTCCCGCATGACACCCAGCGAAAATGAGACACCCTAGATCACCTTCCAGCCATCCGTTGGCCATCAACCCACTCAGCCAGGTAATGACGCTTTGTCCATTGAGACAAAAATAGTAAACTTCCTTGGTGAGCCACTTGCCGCGATGAATTATCATGCCGTCGCGGTCTTTGAAAAGGTGCAATGATATTGTTATGGTGGGAGAACAATTAGCTGGATTGATGACGACCACAAAGCGATAGGCAAGCAAGTATCTCGCTTGTTCGATGGTGGGTGGTCTTCTTGTTCCCGTTCTATCTTTCTATAATGACCAATATCACAATATTGGGGCATGGATAGGCGATGAGATGAGGAGGGTGGTGGGACGTTCGCCGTTCTTACTTGTGGACACGGTGGTTCTGGCAAGCGCTGCTGTGGACTATAAAGCTTCTGTGTGGCTCTCCAACATCGTATTGATTGACAGCCTACAGCACACCTTCGTCCCAGTGGCTCTGTTTCTACAAAGGCCAGTGCATGTTCATTGCGTTCCAAGGTCACGCCCCATCCAAAAAGACGGACACTGTCAACATGTGTACTCAGATACTATCTTCGACGTCGACATACCCCAACCCCACATCCGGTAACGCGACGAACACGACGAAACCCAAAAGTCGGCCCCGGACACCGACGTTTTCCACGCTCATGCGCGTTCCGAACTTAAGTATGCCCGTACTGAAAAACAAACCATCATTGCCTTTTGGACTGGCCAGACGGTGTCGTTCTGCTTTGGGCACGTCCAAGCGGGCGACCCCAGAATCCAATTCTCACCGTATTTCATCGTCGCATTTCGGGTGGAGGTCATCTGAATCGTCTTCGAGCTCGTCGACTTCGGGGTATGATGAATATCACGTACCATATGTGCCCTTGGATCCTCCGACGCCTCCTGTCTCCGTGGTATGTGAACCTGGCTAGAATGCCGTGGGTGGACCGTTTTCTGATTGTTTGCCTTCGCGTCTTGCGCAGCCGCCACTGGGTACGAAAATCCTGGAGCGCTTCTGGCCTGAAAATGAGCCATTTTCTATGGGCGATGCGGATGTCTCGCACTGCCAACGCCCACCGCTGGGGGATACCTATTCTGCATCTCTGGACAGGACGCAGGGGTTCGTGTTTGAGACGGCAGTGAACGATTGGACAGCTGGATCGGGATCGGGACTTGGGAAGGAAATTCCGCATCGCTTCTCGATGCTTACCCCTCCACCGAGTCGTCGCGTGTCACGGATACAGCCACTGTCGACGTCTGTAACTGCGACTCGTGATCTTCCATTTAGGTGCGTACTAACACGTCTGGTATTATACTCCTGGAGTGGTCATGTTGAGGCATTGGGTTTTTCAGTGACGAGTTCCCGAGGAGACCGAGTGTTGATCACAGGGTTGAGTCCGAGTTGCGGTTCCCGTTTTGAAAGTAGTAATTGAGTTTACCATGGTATATAATAGTGTTCTTCTTCGCGGGGGTAGCCCGGTAGCCATCGTACTTTTGCCAAGGGACAGCATGTAATGTAGAATCAGGTAGTCCGTTCTATCGACCACGTGTACCGTAGTATACATACACCCATAACAATACTTCATGATTTCAATTCATCCCTCTACGCATTTTCGGTGCCTTCCAAAGGCAGCGGCTTGACCTCGTCCAGCACTCTTTTCGTGGCCTGCACGATAATTTCCCATTCGACTCTATGCAACCGCTCCTCATACACCTCGAGTGGCTCGCCTTTCTCGATCGGGACTTCACGCACGATGAGAGGCTCGCCCCGGTCGACTTCGGCGACGACGCGGTGAACCATGACACCTAGCTTGTTAACCTCGCCACGCTGGAATGCCTCGTACCCCCGTTGAATGGCGTTGGCACCGTCGAACTGACCGGGTAGGGCAGGGTGGAGGTTGAGTACGGGGATAGGACTGGTAGGGACCGAATTCTCATCATTGTTACTGCACGACTCGTCTTGTTCTTGACCTTCATCTTTAACCTCCCGGGTCCCCCTAAGAGCCTCCAAAAATGGCTCGCTCACGATATGCATCCATCCTGCCAACACTACCACATCCGGCTTTTCCCGCAGCACGATCCTCGCTAATTCGAGATCGTAGTCCTCTCTTGTCTTTCCAGGGTTACTGCGTAGATATGGTTGGAGTGCAAGATATGCGGTCGGGATGGGTGGTGACGCGGTTGTGGCGCGGACGAGTCCGTGTGCGGCTTTGCGGTTGGAGAGAACGAGGACTATCGAAGTGTTTGGAAGGGCAGGTGTGTTTTGGGCGTCGATGAGTGCCTGGAGGTTCGATCCTATATCATGATGACGATGGTATTGAATATTGTAAATGGGTTGTGGGCGTATGAATGTACCTGAACCGGATATGAGGACGACGAGTTGTCGGCTTGAAGGAGTGGCGGGAGTGGGAGTGGTATCAGTCGTCTGGACGTCAGCGTCGGTGGGCGATGACATAGCAAGCTCGGCGTGATTCAGACGGTAGCTGCCTGGTTGCTTTTTCGTTGTGTCGACGACGGCCGATCGGAAGATTCAGTAGGGTTTGGTGAGATATATCTGATAATGTTATTGGCGCCGAATCACAGCCACCAAGTACTGTAATTTAATCTCCATGGTGTTGGTATACAATAAGTGTAGCGAGGGAGGGCTTCCTCCACATGATACCCCAAGCAACTAACATAGTCGAGGATGCTTTACTTCGCAGCCCCGCTGGGATGTCGAAAATGACTGGTTTGGGGTACCTTCCGCGGACTCCCGATGCATCCAAGTCCGTCCGGAGTCCACCTGACAGGAGAGGCCAGTCGTCGATCCTGTGTGCTAAATGATAACCGCCAAGGGACGGTTTATTTTATCGATGTATCGATTGATCTACGAAGTATTAGTAATTGGAGGTCTACAAATGTGTTGGCTTGTGCGATTGCTTATTAACTGCGGGTGTGTCCAGATAGCAAGCGCTCAGGGGATGGGAGGGCAGTTCATAGAGTCTAGACTCTGTGGTTACCCTGACTGGAATGGCTCCGTGTGGCAACGCAACGTCGATCTGCTCGTCCGTATCACACCAACGATTTACTTCTCTGCATTCCCCCCAGATGGATTCGAGGGTGTCCCCGGAACGTGGTTGCGGCTCTGGGTTGAAGAGAGAGAGAGAGAGGGATGAGTTTGTCCGTGTTTGTTTTTCATAGACTGCCTCGCCCAGTCCACGCCACGCCAGAGTTTGTCGCTCTCCTCGCTGTAAGTGTAGCCCGCGCCATGGACCCGCCATCACAGGGCCCGCCCTACTCCAACGTCCGCCAACACCTCTTCCACTCCTCCCACCTCCCCCCGCCCTCCCAGCTCCACCTGCCCCCCGTCAGCTCGTCTCGCTCCAACATCAACACCCTCCCGCCTCTCAATCCACCAAATCGCATGACTCCCTATCGTCACTCTTCGCCGCCGCCATCCTGGCCCACGTCCCTCCATCGAACTTCTAGCTCTCGCGAAGACATCCTCCCTGCATCTGGCCCACTCCATCCACAACAACACCCCTCTTCGCTTTCCATCCACCAAAACACACCTGCCCAATCAGAATCAAGACAATTCAAGCGCGAACAACTGCAACCACCACCACCGCCACCACCCCCGCCACCACCCGCTCCACCACAATCTCAAAAGGACAGCGATGACAACATGCCAGCGACGAGCGACTTCGTCAAGAAACTGTACAAGTACGCCCTCTTCGCGGCCATCCTTCCGATCCACTGCTTACTTGCCATCAGGATGCTTGAGGATCAGTCCTTCTCACACGTGGTATCATGGGGTCCAAACGGTGATTGCTTTGTCGTAAAGGTCGGTCTTCCTGCTTCTTTCTTGCTCTATCTCTCATCACTTTGATCGACCACGCGATCTCGCTTCCGACCTCGTTCTTGCTCACATCTCCCCTTCCAATAGGACATGAACGAATTCACGAAATCAATCCTCCCTCGCATGTTTAAACACTCTAATTTTGCCTCGTTTGTCAGGCAACTAAACAAATACGACTTCCACAAGGTGGGTATGCTCATATATCGTGTGCATCTTCCATGCGCGCTCTGGTGTCTCTTAGGACCGGAGGTCTTTCCCATTCTGACATGCACTCCAGGTCAAAAATACCGACGACACCCAATTTGGTGAACACTCATGGACATTCCGACATCCCGACTTCCACGCTGACCGGCGAGAAGCCTTGGAAAACATAAAACGCAAGGTCCCTGCAGCCCGTAAACCAGCACAATTAGGGTCCGGTATCGGACCCTCTACGCTAGGTCGTTCTGGGTCAGCCGGCTCACCCGGACCCCTGGGCGGCGAATTGGAATCTCTCCAAACTCAAACCAGCACCCTCGCATCACACACGAGTGCACTGCAGAACCAGAATTCAGCCCTCCAGTCGCAGATGACCGCCTTCCAGTCCCAGGCCAACGCATTGCACGCTCAAAATGCAACACTTCAATCCGTCACAACAAGTTTGCAGAACACTGTATCCGGCTTTCAGAACGGAATGTCAGGGTTGCAGCAGCAAGTTGCGGCGCTGCAGTCTCAGAACGACTCTCTAAGGACACAGCTGTGTAGGTCAGAGGATCGAGTGAGAGGTTTGGAAAGGTGTTACAAGGACGTGCTTGGAGAAATGGTTCATTTCCAGAGGAATCTTGCTCAGCAGGATGGTTTGATGCAGAGTCTAGTGCAATATTTTCTGCGTGCGGAAGGCGGTGAGTCTGCTTACTTTTTTGGTTTGGATTTTGCTCTGTTCGTTCGTGTTCTGTATTATTTGGATCAAGGAAATGGTTGGGTTGTCAAGGGCAGCTAGAAGATGAGAGTTGGGTCACGGGTGCAATAGGTCCCTGCACCTTACCCCGTGTCTTCTGTGCCTGCGTCTCCGATGCACGTTCGTATACTCATCATTGTTCCTCAGCGAAGCACAAAGATTCGGTCCTTGCAACATCCATCGCACCTGGACCAGCACCACCTACAGCTGGCCTTGCAAATAACTCCCAGCAAATACAAGGTCCCCATACACCTGTGATGCCTCCCCCGGCAAGATCAGGGTCTCTAGGACACAGTATGACTCCCAACACGCATCCACCTCCGTCCATGTTCGGCATGTCAACGAAAATATCGACCACGGCGGCTGCGATGTCAGCGACGTTGCTGGCTTCGCAACAACAGCCGCAGCCAAGTCCGTTTTTGCAGCCGCTCACTGCGTCTCATTCGCAACACATGCTCGGATCCCATGGACATGGACATGGACCGCATGGACCGCCCACGACGTCTGCGTCGTCATCGACACTTTTTCGGGCACTATCAAGAAGTCAGGCGCAAGCACAAGCACAGGCACAAGCGCAATCCCAATCCCCGTCTCCATCAGTTTCACAAGCACAAGGTCAGGCGCAAGGACCTGCTGAGCCACCCATACAATCAATTCAACCGATTCCATCTATGCAGGAACAAATATCTTCCATGCGAGAAACAATCCCTCTCTCGCAAACGATCCCATCTATGCAATCACCCATGCAGGAATCAATGTCTTCCTTACCGCAAGCGACATCGATGCAACAAATGGTGTCGGCTATGCAAACGATGCAACCAATGCAGCAGGTTCAGTTTTTACCCGTCCATGAGGCCCATCGCGTGCTTGGCTTGGTTGGCGATCATCGGTATCCGGATCCGACCGCGATTGCGAGGGCGAGTTTGGCACAGATGAATGAGATGTCGAGGAAGGCTGGGGCGTCTGCTGAAGTGACGAGTAATGGTACAGGTTCGGGAAATGGAACCAGACCGGAGGGGACGGATATGACGAGTGGTGATGCTCCTTTTCTGATCCCTCCGGATACATCTTGGGATGGGACAGTCCAAACGGTTCACGAGGGATTACAGG